AGAGAGAGAGAGGTTTGGTTATTGGGTTCTTAGGTAGGCGCCTGGTACATTGAGGAACCCATTGTGTTTAACATTATATCAGATTGCTGAGTCAATAGCTTGGACTGTGTTGGTGTGGTTCCTTTTGCCTTCTAGACATGCTATTGTTCATCTCTATGACTGATGTTGCCATCTGATAAATATGGTAAATTATGGTTGCCTTATCAGGTTGTGATCGAAGACTGACTTCATATGAAGCTCCATTAATTGAAATGTAGAAATCATTCCCACTTTGCTAGGTCTGGTTGCTCAACCTTTTTATAAAATAGACATGATCCTGTGCTATATTCTCTCCACCTGCATGTGTCTCTGTATCACTTCCCAATCCATAACCTTCTTCTTTTTATTGAATTCTGTTCAGATCCCTCAAACTCAAAGATTAATGCGCTCAAACTACTCCAAGACACTGAAACTTATCCCCATTTCCTCTCCCCTTTTCAATCTTCAAATTGGGTTGGTTGATCTATTGATCCCACTTTGCTCCCTGGGCTCTAACTTTCTCAATACACTGAGATGACCAGAGTGAGGGCTGGAGTATTGTTGTTTCCTTCAATTAAACTATGTTGCGTTTAATTTGATTTCCAATGGTATAAATGGAGAGGTTTCTTTCTTGTCTTGATTATTAATAACAAGTTAAGGTTTTTCATTAAACATGTAGCAAGACAAACCAGCCTTAACTCTCTTGGAAATTTGGGTTAAATTTGCAGTCTACCTGAGTTTTGAATCCATGGTTTCCTAATTATTTGTGATATATCAATTTTTGATTTGGTAGATTCAAATTGGGTTCCTCACACTAATAATTCTGAATCAGGGATTCGTGTGTCGGGTCGTGAAGAGGAAGGTGAGAGTGGAATTTGGCAATGAGTTCCATTCCCAACATTCATCGGAACAAAAATATGATGTGAGTTTCTCCTTCAACAGACTCTGCTTAAAACGTTGTCATCAAGCAGTTCTTGCAACTTCAGATCCTTCATTTCATAATCTCTTGTTCCCTATTGAGAATCTTCGGGCCAAGTTCATGGATACAGAGACAGTTGTAATTACTTCAAGCCATGATCTGAACATGGAGCAACGGGTTGCAGTTTCTCGAATGCTCAGGTGCGTTTACTTTAGGATAGTGCTCAGGCTGGGACTCGTGGGGTTTACCCTGTCTGACTCGGGTGGGTTCCTAGTTGGACTGGTGATCTTTAAACAAAGAAATTAGGGACAGGGGAGAGACTATGGAGAGTCCTGAGGTTCTGCATCTGGACTCGTCGGGGCCCAAACCTGAGCGAACTCGGGAAAGTTCAAATTTTTAAACATTTATTTGTGATTTAAATGAAGGAAAATAAGTTTATCATACATTGCAGGGCATCCACTGTCACTACTCAATGGTGGACAGGAGATTAATTGTCCTTCACAGGTATGGTTAATCTCTACTGTCCATCATTGAGAATAAATGGTGGATTCCCTATCTGTGCACCATATACCATATACAAACTGTATGTGATGTACTTTCCCTTGAATGAATATTCTTGTTTTACTGGAAAAAGACTTTATAAGCCAATGGTCCTATGCTACAATATAAGGCCATTGGCTAAAACACACCAAAGGATTTTATTTTTTCCTTCTTGGGTGGAAATTTTGCACATATTTGATTTGAAAAATAGATAATTTAGAAAAAAAATTTGTCAATTTTGAGTTCTCGATGGCTGAGGTCCACCATCCACCAAACAAAGTATCACATGGATGGCCTGTGTTCGCCAAAAATATCCGACTCATTTTTCCCCCTTTTTTTTCTGGAAATTTTATTTTATTTTTTGATCAGCTACATGAGATCTACAACTATGCCGCATTTGCGCTCCATCAAAACTCCCTAGCTCCAATGGGCCTATGCGATAGTATATATTTGTGGCTCATAGCATCTGGTTTCTTTATAGAATTCTGTGACATGTATATCTTATAGTGTGATTTTATTTGCATATCCCAAGAATTTTACATAATCCGCTCCCTTCCTTTGCAACATATCATTTTAGATGGTGGGATTTTCTATTTTTGGTTTGGGTGGTGGCATTTTCTATCATTTATCAAAAGTAGGATGAGAAGTTCTCTACCAAAGCGTAAGCATTTGTAGCCACTTCTCTGCATTTACTAGCATAAAGCATAGCTCCAATGCTTGTATTAACAAATGCCAGTGTTTTTTACCAATGATTTATTGTGGCCATGATAAATTATGGGAACTTACTCCTATTAGAAAATATTTTGCATAAAAAAAATTAGTGCCTAAAGCCTAAGCATCTAGTTGCTGGTGAACAAAGTTCACACTTTAGGATACATGTTATGCCAATGAATAGGAAGTGAAACACGTGGTAGGGACTTGCCAAGGTCCCAATCCCAGACCCCTGGTCTGACTCGGGCGATTCGAGTAAGACCGGGAAAGTTTTGATAATAAGAATTAAGCCCGAGTTGAATTGTAGAAGTTTTGATAAGTAAAATCAAATAATTATGAAAAACCAGGTGACTCGGGTGTTCCACGATTTTTGGGTCCTGAATCACTTGGCTCCCGAACCGGTCCAACTTGGGTAAGTCCCGACTCTGATCACTGATTTTTTAAATTCTGTGTTGTACTAACTCTCTCTCACTTTAGTTGCATAGGCTCTCCCCCTTATATCGTCGAGGGACCAACTGAGAAAACCAGAGATACAGTTTGGGCAGCTTCTCTACATATATACAAGAACCTCCCAAACTCTCGAATTCTCATCGCTGCCCCAACAAACAAAGCTTGTGATTATCTATTGATCAAATTATCAGAAGAAATCCCTGAATCTGAGCTTTTTCGAGCCAATGCAGCCTTTCGAGAGCCCGAAGATGTGCCTCCAGATGTTATCGTGTCCTCCTCTTACAATGGAGAGGTTTTCACATGCCCAACCATTGAAGAACTTGAGAGCTATAGAGTGATAACCTCCACATTCATAAGTTGCTTTAGGCTTCACTCAGGTGGTCTTAATAAAGGCCATTTTACCCATATATTCTTGGTGGATGCTTCCTCTGCAACTGAACCTGAAACGATGGTGGCTCTTGCAAATTTTGCCGATGAGAAGACAACGGTTTTTATCACGGGTTCCTATGCAGAGTGTCCAAACCGGGTACATTCTAATATCGCAAGGAAGCTCGGCTTGAGGAGATCATATTTTGACAGGCTTCTCACTAAATTGCCTTATGTAGATTGGAACCCTCAATTTGTTACACTCATTAGTTGACATTCTTAGGAAACAGCATGTTCAATGGCTAAATCTAAGACTGCTTCATCCAATCATATCAAGTATATAACTATGGGTAGCCCCATGTATCAATGTATGTGTTATTGCATATATATGTTTTGGATGTTCTGAGTGCTATGGGATACAATTTTTTCTTTTCACATTTTGCGCATATGCACGTATGTGTATCTCTACGCATGAACCTTGAGCAGATATGTTTTAGTTATAAATTTAACATAATATTTAATTTTTTTAAATTTTTTTTGGGTCGAGTCTAATTGGGTCCAGCGGGACCCGGACCCGGACCTGACCCATTGCCACCCCTACCTCTCCTTGTGACTGTTCCATCGATTGATTTGATGGGGATAATCTTTGTAACTATAAATTTCTATAGTGGTTGATATTGGTAATCCAGATAGGTTATCAAACAACAGAAAACAGATTCTTTGTTTGTAGATTTGCAAGAGATATGATATGTGGATCCCAGAAATCAAATTCCCTTTTGAGTTTTTTTAACTTCTGCAGGGCGGGTCTCCCTCTCCCCCTGACTGTTCCATCGAGTAATTGGATGGTGATTAGTCTTTGCAACCATAATTTTCTCTGGTGGTTAAGATTATAGTTTGCTTTTTCCTTTTAAAATATGAATGTGGTTGGGCATTGGTTACATCTTGAGCACTTTTAACTTTTCGATAGGTTGTTAACAATTTGCATGAAAATGTGGAAGTTTTATTAGTGGTTTTTCTCTACTTACTAATCCAATCCAGGGTATTTATTTTAAAAAACAGACGACAGGAAACACGTAAGTTTGAGTATACTGAGTGAGGCAGAGGTAGGCTCCTCTCGAGTTGTATATGTGCCTTCTGCGCCAACGAATCTGGCCGAAGTGCGTGGACCTGACCAGGACTTGAACCCCGTAGTAGAGGCTTGGCCCTGACCTTGCGCAACTCAATGGGCCATGGCCCTAGATTTGCCAGGGCCCGGCTTTATTTCCTGGGGCAGGATCAGGTTGGGCTATCTTTGTGCCCAAGCCCATCTTTTCAAAATACATAACAAAAGTCATAAATCGGGTCATCATAAAAGATCCCACCATAATTATATCTTCCAAACGGGTTTGGAGGTACGTCTAAGGTTGAACCGTCTATTTAAAGTACCCCTATATAATGTCCAATCCTCAGTATTTCAAATTGTCGCATCACAAATTTATCAAAAGAATCTAATCTCAATCTAGCTTTCACTTACCAGAAATGCTGATATTTTTAGCGTAGTGAAAATAGGGTGTAAGGCTGAACCTCTAAACAATCAAAGTAAGGCATACCTTCTAGTTGTGTCGAAAGATTACTGAAAATCTTTGTGAAAATCTGATTTTTTTTTTTTCATCTCTAATTATAAAATTTAAAGATTTAAAAATAGTGTAGATATAACAGATCTATGAATACATGAAAATCATGACAATTGACCGTCTGAAAAAACGTATTACAAGATGCATTATTTCTAATATTTGAAATCTCCTTTTTTTTTTCGTTTTTTCTTTTCATGTCCGTACATTTTGAGATTGAGATAATCGGATTGTTTCAGCATCGAAAGAGCTCTCCAAGTAAAATTTTCAGGTGTGCCTTAATTGGATTGTTTAGGGCTTACCCTCTATAAACTTTTTCATTGAAATATTGGCCCCTTTGTTTAAGAGAACCATGACCACACGGACAAAATAGGACTCTTGATGTTGATAGTTCTCCACTGACAATGTTCTTTTGGAATTTCCGATGATAGTGTGGAATTTCGGATGATAGTCTGTAACATGTGTTGTCAACAAAAAGTTAACGACACGGTTTCTATGAGTTCATGTAAAAATGAGGGACCTCTTAAAAATTTATATTTGAGATGGATTTTTAGATTTAATTTTTAAAGACATGTAATCTCTATTGTGGAATTCATGAATATGAAAAAATAAATAAATTTTAAAAATTAAAAATAATAATTATATTAATAAAACATTTGGATTGTTAGTTTCAACTGTTTTTAGTTGGATCACCTATTTGTATTCGCCTTTAAAATGGATGCCTTATACCCATGGACTGCAAATATAGAAATGCGGTCCCTGCCACATGAAACAATTTGAATTTACAAAACCACGGCACACATATTCTCTATTTTACATTTTTTTCAATTTTGTTTCTAACATTTCAAAAAGTCCCATCGAGGTAGGCATCAAGTCAACATCAGAGTGACTGCCGACTTTGTAAAGGGAAAATTTTCAAATATACTGTTATTTAATTTTTAAGTAAACTTATCAAAAAAAAATTCTATACAAATACATGTGACTTTTTGAAGCTGAGGCCCTAACCAATCAAAACAAGGCACACTTTCAAATAATGCCAAAACATGTTGTTTTAGTATCATATATCGTTTTTATGGTATGACAATTTATTTTTATCTCTAATTATAAAATTTAAATATTAAAAAATAGTGTAGATCGAGCATATCTATGAATTTTTGAAAATCTTGAAAATTGGCAGTCTAGATAATACATTACAAGATGCACGATTTGAAATCTAATTTTTCTCATGTCCTTATATTTTGATGTCGAAATGATTGAATTGAGGGTTTTTTAGCATTAAAACTACCTCTTCTAGTAAAATTTATAGGTGCATCTTAATTTGATTGTTTAGGACCTCACCTCTATGTAAATCTTTTCATTTTCATAATATGTACGGATCACAAACTATTCTAACCTTCAATGTTGGCATGCAAGCTTCACAATAGAAATCCTTTTTGTAGGTTTCTAACCTCGAACAAGAATAGATATCTATATTATTTAGTTTGGACGATTAAATACTCATTCAACTTTCCAAATATGGAACAATGGCACTAGAGTGAAAAAGTTATCATAAAATTACAACCTTAATGCTAATTAATTGATTTGACCACTTTAATAACTTTTTTTTGTGTAGTTTAGCCACATTACATAATTTTTTTTTTTTACAGATGGCCAATACTAAATTGATTGATTTGACCACCTTAATGACTATTAAGGAGTGTTTTCCTAGTAGGAGACAATACTCTTGTCATCAGCTCTATAGCAACCCATAAAAATAATATTTTGTTGTATACCCACCCAAAACATTGGTGGTATATTCAGCCCGGGCAAAAGATAATGGTGCCACCCATGTTTACGAGTGTTGATAACAAAAGGACACATATTGTGCTCCTTTAGAAGCACGGTTCACTTCTGCTTCCTCGGCTAAAAGATCTACTTGGATAATTTTTCGGTCTGAAATTTAAGTAATAACTTAAGAATTACTGGATGATTATTTGCAAAAATGAAAATGAAATTTGAATTTTCAAACACTTAGATCTTACCATTTAAAAATTAAATAATCTCTATCCAATCTTGATGCATCATTTTTTTAAGTACATAGAAGGTACAATTAGAGAATTTTTTTTTATTAAAGTTAATCTATAGGTTGAAGAGATTATATCGCCAAAATTTGGGGTCCGAAAATTATTTCTAGGTGGGGTTTTACCAAGGGAGTAAATGTACATTTGACTCCCGCAAGAGTAGAATATCTTTTGAGATAATGAAAATATGTTGAGAATTAAAGTATGGCCTGAACGAGGAAAGTTCCCACTTTTGCGAAACAAGGACCCTTTTTATAAGGGTGCGGTTTGTATAGAGCCTAGGCTCTAAACAATCAAATTACAGCCTATTTTCAAATAGTATCGAGAAATGTGGTTTTAATATTGAAAATCTTTGTAATAGCCTTAAGATATATTTTTATATTTATTTATAAACTTTAAAGCTTAAAAAATAGTGTAGATTGACAAATCTATGAAAACTTGAAAATCTTAAAAAATTGACGGTCCAAATTTGTTCTATAAAATACACTATTTCCAAAACTTGAAATCTATTGTTTTTCTCATGTCCATGCATCTTGATGTCTAGATGGCCAATTTGAAGATGTTTAGGCATCAAAACAAACTCTTCTAGTGAAATTTTCAGGGTAGGCTCAAATTTGATTGTTTAGAGCCTCGTCTCTATATAAACTTTTCCCTTTTTATAAAGATCTCACCTTATGCTATAAAATAAAAAGTAAATAACATCTTAATAATCTACTACAAAAGCTTGTTGCAATGATTCCAACTCATCATCTCAGATTTAAGATGGATGGATCAATATGACAAAAAAAAAAAAAGATTTTAAGTCCTAAAAATAATATATTTGTGTAACATAATATTTGGAATATTTATTTTTCAAAATTTTAAGTATTTATAAATCAGCATGGTTTTTATGAGTCCATGTAGAAATGAGTCACATCTTAAAAACCTATTTTTGACATAGATTTTTTGACTTAATTTTTGAGGACATGTAATCTCTAACATGGTGATCATGAATATGAAAAAATAAATAAATTTTGAAAATTAAAAATAATAATTCTACTAAAAAAACTTTTGGACCGTTAGTTTTTATTATTTTTATATGGACCACTATTTGTATCAATCATTAAGATGTATATTTTATACCTCGGGGACCGCAAATGTCAAAATGCAGTCCCTGCCACATGAAACAATTTTCCTTAGTCGGTAAATGATACCTTGGTTACAATCCTTTTTTAAATAGTTAAAATTTTATATTTTCTAGAGATATTAACTATTAAAACTTTAACTACTAACCTTTAGGAAATAAAAATTATCAATTTTAAATTAAAAATTATCATTTTTAATTTTTAATTTATATTTTTACATAGTAATGATCTCAAGATTATATATTTCTTAAAATTTAGTGCTAAAATCCATTTAAAAAATAGATTATTAAGAGGAGCGTATTTCTACATGTGAGTCCAAGACTCATAGAAACCGTGTCCTTAGTTATTGGCCTGGGAGAAAAACATATGTTATTGTACTGGAGAGAAAAATGTACAATGTCTCACCAAAGTGTTTGATTCTTTTTCTTTCTTTTTCTTTTTGGGTATTATGAAAGCCAATGATAATCATAAGCACTGTGATTCTTGAACGAATTGTCCTCATCAAAACCCTTATTCTCATTCTTCTTATATCAAGCTTGCAATGTCTGTAAAAGAAGAAGCTTCTTCTTCTTCTACCACTTTCAGTCTCCACAATTTGTAAAAACTATGGAGTGGCTGGGTAAAGTTTTTCGATCTCTTTTTGGCACTGGAGAAGATAATGATCCTCGTAAGCACTATGGTTCTTCAACTAATCATCCTCACCAGAACCCAACTTCAATCTCTGCAAGAGAAACTTCTGATTATCTTTATAAGTACTCTGGTTCTTCGACGAATCTTCGTCAACAAAATCCGACTTCTTATTCTTCTCAGGTCAAGCCTTCAATTCACACTGATAATCCAAGTCAACATCCTCATGTTAATGTAAAGGATCAGAGTTTTGCTTATTCTCCTTCCTTAGAGAAGCTTTCATTTGATGAAGGAAATAAGAAGCAAAATAATTATGGAAAAGAGTCGAGAATTAAGAGCGATAGTCACAAGAAAGAAAAGCTTCCAGTCTATGGCATACCAGAAGAAATTAGGGCCTTGATTGAGAAGGGAAAGGTGCCTGATGTTCTGATCAAGCCTTTATCTGCATCCACTTATTCTAACTATTTTGCTTCTTTGCTTTATGCTGAGGATGTCTATGTTGAGGTAAGGCAAATTCTGATTTTTTTCTTTTCTTTTTTCTTTATAATTTTTGTTTGAGATGTGCAGGATTCAAATGTTCAATAGTTTTAGGAGGTAAATCTGGAGAGATAAAATACATGATTTTGTATATAATGAATTTGGAAGGTAAATCTGAAGAGATAAAATACATGATTTCTACATAAATTTGGGAGGTAAATCTGAATTGATGATTTAAAGAATATTCGAAATAAATAAAATAAAATAAAAACTAAGATGGGGTTTATGGGACGGGCTTTAGAGAGGACTTAAAAAAACATTAGATAAACTGAAACATACACTATATAAAAGGGGTTTTAGGGGAACCAGGCCTAGACCCATAGCATCCAAGAAAGGGTTTGGTTCCTACCAATTCCCATCTAGATCGGGGATACGGATTGTCATGTTTAAAACAGTCTTTTGTACTGATATATAGCATGATCAAGTATAGCTTGCAATTATTTGGTTTTTATTTTTTGGGTTCAATAGCAAGATTTCCGAATAACATTCCTAAATTTGACCAAATTATTGACTTTTTTGAAAATTATTTTCATACAAATGAATTGAAATAGGTGCCCTAAAATATACAGTTTTACATTTTAGTAAGCTGAAATGTACGCACAATTCCCCAACTTTTACCTGAAATGTCCATCAACTGAAATTTTCCAACACTTGGAAGTTTCATATTGAAATTTGCAGAAAGTATCGGGCAAAAAAAAGGAAAAACAGGTAGATTAGGTCCTTTTTGGCAATCATTTTTCACTCCTTAATTTAGTCTTCTCATTCATCCCCATTCCATAACCCAAATAATGATAATAATAATAATATTTCTAAAACCTCTCTCCTTCCATAGTCTTGCATATTTTACTTGTTCTGATCTCAATCTATAAATTCATTTTTTTTGTTTTTGACTTCAGACGTGGAGTGATTTTGTTTTGGAAGGAATCACTGTGCAAATATATCAAGAACTGACTAATCGGGATAAAACCAGGTATAAGAATAATGATCAGAAGACCTCAACAAAGAAGAATCCCCTTGTGTATTTCGAGTTTCCCCACGATCGAGTGGATCGACCCTTCCTTCTATCAAGAGATTACGTCTTCTTAAAACCTTCTGGCAAGATGGTTGATCCTTTTAAGGTTTGTCCTTATCATTCTTTAAGTTCAAACCAGTTTTACAGGTTGGTAATCAAATTGTGCCTGAAGAATTTCAAGCCCTTTTCTTATTTGCATTTTGTTCAAATGAATCAAACTTGATGATTCTACTTAAACCTGGTCCGAGAAGATCAGAAGTTCCACATTTCATTTCTCTGTTTAAATCCACAAACTGTGTTGGTAGATCCACTGATTCTATTTTGTTTTATTATTTCTAACCTTCTGATACATCTGGGCGCTGGTTTAGGGAACCTCCGATGCTCAAGTATCCTGAGGGGCATATATTTCCTCTACTATATGTAATTATGCATAATTTAAGCCATGTTCTACTGTTGGGTTACCACTAACTACTGTTAAAACAAGTTGGTGTTCTATGTAATATAGACTGCAGTATAATGTAATTTAATACCAGTTCCCATGATCATGCTATAGAAATGTATGTTAAATTTGCAGTCCATAGAAGTCAACGATTGAAATATTGCCAATCTGACTTGGGAATCGCCCGAGTAGGATCGGATCAGGGGCCATGTAATACCGAGCCAAAGAACCTCGAATGGCCTCTGTCATGGACTCGTCTGGGTCCGGCTGGGTGCCTCAGAATTGGGACGCTAGTGAGTCCCTACCGGCATCCAAGTTTTTAATCAATTGTATGTGTACTCGAATGATCGGTTTTGATGACTTCTTAAAAGATCATTGATACCATTGCAAAAAATCTTGTTCCCATGGGTATAACGTATTCTAAACCTTTAATCAGGGAACTGTATGTCGGGTTGAGAAAAGCAAGAAGGTGGTGGTGGAATTTGGCGATGACTTCCATTCTCCGCGGCGTAAGTCGTTTGATCAAAACTATGATGTGAGCTTCTCATTCAATAGGGTTTGCTTAAAACGCTGCCACCAAGCAGTGGCTGCAGCTTCAGAACCTTCATCCCACGGTCTCCTTTTTCCCAGCTATACCCCAATCCGTATTCCTGACGCAAGAAATAGTGCATCTTCTTCAAACCTACATCTCGACACGAAGCAACAAGCTGCAGTTTCTGGGATACTCAGGTGAGGACTTTCACATACCATACTTATGGTTTATTTCATATATGGGATTCTCTGATGGGAAGCTTTCTATACTTTCCCTAATATATAACACTTATATACTTCCTCCTATCTAACCGTCCATTTTGAGTGTATTGCTGTGATGGCTCCAATCACAATGTCATGCCTATACACTATTTTATTGTTCTTGTTTTTTCTACTATTTTATTTTTAATATTTTTTTTAGATGTGCCCCCATTGAGATGATGGCATGTATCAAATTCCATATTCATATAATTTGTAAAAAAAAATTAAAAATAAAGTATTGTGAAGCATTGGATCTAGATCAAACTGTCAGTGGTTCACTTGATCAAACTTAGACGGCTAGTAGGGGGAAGTATATATCTTCTATACATTAGGGGAAGTATAGAAACCTTTCCCTTCTCCCTTCTCACATATGATCAAAAGGGGAAGTAAAGAAACCTTTCCCTTCTCCCTTCTAGTATATGATCAAAAGAATACGCATATGATATAATCGGACTTTATTAATATGCATGAACAATGTCTACTTATCCGAACCCCCTCGTGAAAAGTGTACCATGCCATATGTCAACATTATGAAAATTGGGAATATCAATCACACCTAAGAGTTGAACTATTTAACATCTCACCCATATGTTTCAATCTAAATTGGAATAGGCCTTCATTCTTTTGATAAAAAATCAGATTAAATGACACATTATTACGAGTTTTGAAATTTATCAAAACATGCCCATGGTGAAATGTAAAATAGTTCAACTTTAGGTGTGATCTCATTAATTTTGCAGGATCTCTAATTACAGTGTATGGGCATTAGTTGTCGGAGTCTTATACTTGCATTTCTCTTGAAGGTGATGTGAGTACAAGTCACCTATTCTATCACCAAATGAATGGTCTAGATTTGTTTTTGAAGGTGACCTGTTTTGACCATATCTAGGGTTCAAATTTAACTTTTTTTTTTTTTTGATTGATTATTGAAATGGAGTGTGTGTGCAAAATTTTGGATCGTACAAATACCACAAACATGGTTTTCTAAAAGTGTCGTTGTATTATACTACGATACAACCGTTACCTGAAATCACTGCCCTTCTTTAATAGCATGTATTAGCGATGGGAAAGTATATTACCATAGTCCCGCATGTGGTAGATTACGCTACATCCATTGTCTGTTCTGTCTAATGGATGGTTGGAGCACCACTCTAGTTAACTCCATCCTTTTGCTTTTCGTAATGGGTGGTGGATATAGCCTTTGTGTGCTATAGGTGTCTTCGGAATGCTTTAATTTCTCATTTGAAAATATCTTCAATTGATTCAGTAACTACCACTTTCTCCTTTAGGTGCAAAGGTTTTCCACCTTATCTAGTTGAGGGGCCAACCCGTGTAGACAATTCACCATTCGGAGCATCAAGCCTCGCGATCCAAAAGACCAAAGCTGTAGTTGGGGTGGCAGCCTCATACATATACAAGAGCTTCCCGAACTCTAAAATTCTCATCGCTGCCCCGACAAACAAAGCTTGCGATGACCTTCTGCGAATATTATTGAGGGACATTCCTGATACGGAACTCTTCCGATCAAATGCAGCCTTTCGCGAGCTCGAAGATGTGCCTGTCGAGGTGTTTGGGGCTTCCTCTTATGATGGGGAGGTTTTCGACTGTCCAACCCTGCAAAAGCTTAAGAGTTATAGGGTGATAACCTCCACTTTTATAAGTTGTTTCAGGCTATACTCTGCAGGTATTACTAAAGGCCATTTTACCCATATATTCTTAATGGATGCTTCCGCTGCAACTGAACCTGAAACAATGGTGGCCCTTGTGAATCTGGCTTGCAAGAACACGACAGTCGTGGTCACAGGTTGCTCCAGTGAGAAACCGTCTCGAATACGTTCGCCTATATCACAACAGCATGGGTTGAGAAGATCTTACTTTGAGAGGCTTCTTGGCCAGTTGCCTTACTCCGAAGATAACCCTTTGTTTGTGACACATCTCAGTTAGGGCTCTTGAAGAACATATCAGCTTAGCTCAAGGATAATGGTTCCCAGAGTTTGCAAACCTCTAGAATCTTTCTTTGTCTTTCTTGAGAAACTGTCTCGAATACATTCGCCTATATCACAACAGCATGGGTTGAGGAGATCTTACTTTGAGAGGCTTCTTGGCCAGTTGCCTTACTCCGACGATATTTGTGACACCTCTCAGTTAGGGCTCTTGAAGAATATATCAGCTTAGCTCAAGGGTAATGGTTCCCAGAGTTTGCAAACCTCTAGAAGCTTTCTTTGGCTTTCTTTTGGTAAATTGATTGTATAGTATTTTATATTCATAGGCTCATAAAATGACTATATGTATGTGTTTTTTGGGTGTCATGCATGGTATGAGACTGAGACTGCATCTATGTAATTTGCATATGAATTTTCAACATTTTAGAGCTTATATAGACTCTGGGATCCACTTATAATCGCCATATGAGTATTTTTGTAAAAGATAAGGAATTTAAATTCCTAAATAAATCTCTGACCATGCAAAAATTTGGAGCTCTCCATTCAACCTAAGATTATTATTTTCTTTATGGGACAAAGAGTGCATATGAATTATTATTTTTTGTTTATTTTTTATCTTCAGTAAAGGTTGATGCTGGTAAAGATGTTACATCCCCAAAATTTGAGGTCCTAAACATACTCCTGAGATATGATTTTACAAGAGAAAGAATACTAGATACACTCCCACTGCATCATAATTACAAGAGAAAGAATACTAGATATACTCCCACTACATCATAAAATCTCTCGGCTTCTTTCTATGTTTAGTGTCTTGTCATCCGTGTATCATAGTCCATGTTTATTGCTTGATGTACGGTGTCATGTTGTTAAAAGTTAGAAACCAGATCTCAAACTGGTCTAGATAGACCAATTGGGAAAACAAGACCAATTGGATCACCCAGTTCAATAGATTCCAATTAATTTTTAAAATAGAGTTTCCATTACGAATGGGGCCTTCATTTAGAAATGGAAATGTACAGGCCTCGCCACCTTTTCCCTGCAATGCTATCAGTGGAGCTTTTAAAGATTTAAGGGATGCCTAATATGTGTGTGTATGTCTGCATGAGAGAGAGAGAGAGAGCACCAAATGACCATAGGAAAAATCGTAGTCCCACGAGTCTTTTAACTTTTTTATTTTACCTCGAGTGATAAGGGTGTTATCACTATCATGGACTGATGACACTCACCATTTCGATCATGTCCTGTTTTACTGGATCTCATTCCCTCCTCGGTACCTATCCATCAATTCACTAGAAGGTGATGGCACATTTGGGAAATTTAACAAAATATACCTAAAAGTTGGACCATTTAACATGAATTTGATATATTTTCAAAACCTGTTTTCGATGTTTCACTCCATTGAGCTATTAAAAATTTGATCAAAAGAATGATGAGTGATTTGCGCTTCGGCACAAAATAAGAAACGGTCCCTCCAATGTATGAATGGTTGGGAGTTCACATTCTCGTCGTCCTTGGTAAAAGAGTCCACCACGGCGACATTCATAAACCGTTCTACGATAGTTTACATCAAAAAGTATTGGTAAGATATTACACATTTCAAATCTTAAGAGTAATTTCATAAATTTCTATTCTTAATTATGAAATTTAAAGCTCTAGAAAATGGTGCAGATGTAGCTAATTTAAAAATACTTGGAAATGGATGGTTCAGAAAATGTATTACACAATACACTATCTTTCCATATGGTTTTGGAACCGAGGCCCTAAATTTTTTTCATGTGGCAGCTTTATATAATTTTTTCTATATATGTGTTTATGTGTGATATTGTTTTGATAAGGCAATAGCCTTATAGATACAAGGTTGCAACTATCTGCACCGTCCATCAAGTCAAACACCTAAATTAATAAATAAACCAAGGTCTCCCAGTGCTCTAGTTCTATTTTCATTTATAAATTGTTTTTTCTAAAATCAAAGCATTAACATTTCTCTTTCTTTTTCCATTACCCACCTCAAACCAAGTATTCTCATCTTTCCCCAAGCATTGCACTCTAAAATTAGGTCACTTGGGCATGTACATCACAGACCTCGAACAACATTGTTAAGAGGTGTAAGTTGGTTCAAGTAGAAAGTCCAAAAATAGCAAAGGGCAGGCCCAAAAGGACATGATTGGGAGTAGTGAGAAAAAATATGGGGACTTATAGCTTCATTGATCGTTTGACCCTTGATACAACAGAATAGCGAACTAGGATTTGTGTAGCCAACCTCAAATAGTTGGGAAATGACTATGATAATGATAATGATGATGATAATTGCACCCCAAAAATTAAAGATATTGCTCTCTTTAAGCATGTCATTTTCCAATAAGTAGAAATGTACATGAAATTCAGTCTAAAACTTGAAGATTTACTAGATTTTCGGTTAGTTTCCTCAAACCTACAGCACTTGGATCCTTCAAGAACTAGATCAAAGCATTGAAATGAATCCCCATCGTTCCCTTAAACTTAACATCAATGAAATGCTCCAAATTGGGGGTGAAACATTCGAATTTTTGGTTTAGAATAAATTGTGGTCTCTTTCCACAAAGCTCACCAGAAAATGCCCTAACTCGTCATAAAAGTCGGTACTGCTTCAGCAACCAGCTTTTCTCTCTCAACCCTAGAAAATACTTCCCCAGAAAAACTCACTAAGGACAAATTCTCTCTCCTGCTCCCCATAACCCATTAAGAGCTCCCTTCACCACCCACCTCTCTCGCTCTCTCTCTCTGATAAATTAACCCAAAACTCAAACCCATCAAACCCTGTTTCCTCCTCTTGCGGTGACAAACTATCCAAGAAAAAACAATTCACCAAACCCTGATTCTCCCTCTCTGCATTTACATTGAAAACCAGCAAAAACCTTCCCAACAAAAATTTTAACTCCTCCAACCATATTCTTTCTTCTCTCTCACTTCATTGGAATTCAACCACCTTAAAACAGGAACACGATCACCCGATTGAAACTAACCAATAACTTGTATCCCTCTCTCTGCACCCATTAATTCAATCCCATCTCCTCCATTAAAAACAACGCATTAGTTCAATCCCATCTCCTCCATTGAACCAACCACTAGTTCAATCCCATCTCTTCCATTAAAACCAAGCCATTAGTTCAATCCCATCTTTTCCATTGAAACCAAAATCTCTCCAAAAATAGCTTTCATCATATGATGCAGAGAAACCTAATGCAAAATCATTTCACCTCAGCAACTTTCTCTTGGTCACAACCCCAATTTCGCCAATCATTCTCTCTCCAGAAATCCTGCTGTATAAACCAGAAATCCCGATCCTATTTGGACTGAACTAATAAATTATAGAGTCCATCTCAAATTTTCTCCATCACCATATGGAGCAAAACCTGTTGCTCTATGAAAGATCAAATTGTAAGTATTCTCCACACAGGTTTTCTCAGAAGAGAGACTCGCCACCAGCTTCAACAAAGGAGAAGTCATAGATAAATATTGAGGTAAGAAACCTAGTTGAAAACCAGATTAGCATATCAAACCCTTCAGCAGTAAGAGCAGGACCAAACCAACTCATTGACATAAAAGTGGCCCTGAGCTAAATGGTTGGTTTTTGAAGAGGCAGCCATGAATTTGCAAAGTTTGAAGGTGGTGCATTTTTTGAGGGTAGAGAGAGAAAGTGGTTTTCAAGAAGACAGGTGTCTGGGTATTTCATCAGGGGAAGAGAGAGAAATGGTGTTTGAAGGACTGTATTTTCAGAGAACCAATCTGAAACCAATTCCTTCGAGTAGGGGTCTTAGAAAAAACTGAACCAGTCTTGAGGATTTTCAAGAACCCATTCCTTTGAGAAGGGGCAATAGGGAAAATTAACCCAGTCCATACTCTTTGAGGAGGTGTCGAAGCTCCTGAGGATTTTCTGTTGAAGAGAGAAAAGAGGGAAAGTGGTCAAGGAAGAAGTGAGAGAATAGTGAGAGTGGGTTCCAATATTATAGCCCACAAAAACCCTCTAGCTGTATGTTATGCCACTTATACTCTAGCAATAAGGCCATTGCCAGAATATCATAAGCTTCCAATATTAGTTACAATTCCCAAATAAAAACCTGCCTAGGAGTACTTTTAAGATCCTCAATTTTGTGGATGTAACCACCTCAAGGGGATATAAACACCTCAACCTAGCGGCTAACTAATATATTTAAAAAATTAAAATCTTTCATACACTCCCTATGTGTAGTCTAAGAAGGGTGAGGACCTTAAACTCTCCCTTAATCCGAACCAAGCCCAGGTAAAAGAGGTGGGTTGTGTCAAGTACGCAGCCAACGTAAAACTTAGCCAAAACTTTCTATGAATCCTAAGGCTCTGATGATGATGATACTCCCTACGTGCCTAAAAAAATTAATGTCCTAAGGTTGAATAAAAAGCGTTCCTTTCAAATCTAAAGTGCTTTAGGGACTCAAAATTCTTGTTTCCAAAAACATATCCATCTTGTGATTTAAAAAGTGGATCTTTCCAAAACGATACAAATTCAATGATTAAAAGGTGAATCTCAAAATTCCAAATCAACAAAATCTTCCCAACTAATCTTCGGCACAAGGAAGGAAGTGAACGTATAGCATGCTCCCTAAGGAGTAACCTGTAAATAGAAGCAATGTCCGATAAACATAAATCATAGTTGTGTACTTCTTAACCCATGAACAAGAAGGATTTGTCAACTCTAGCTCCTTGAGTTTTTTGCAGACACTAAAATCCATCAACACAAAATCAAAATTTTTCATGCCTACTCCTAAAAAGAAATATCATACAAGATACTGAAATACCCAAAAAGATTTACCCAAGCTTCAAACAGAACCTTAAATCTCCAGCTCCTTATGAAGTAGAGGCTGCCTGCCTCAACTTAGCTTGTAGTAACACACCGGCTTCATCTGCCATGCTCTTCTTTTTGGAAGCAACCTGCATTGCAAGAATTTGCAGGCCTAAGCATCAAAAAGGAAAAGTATAAAAAAGGAGTCCTTTTTAACAAATTAAAATAAAAAGGTTGAATATCAAAGCGGGGAAAGATATAAGATAAAGTATGCTATAAGACTGTTCACCTTTGGCACAAAAAGGTCAGGATGACTCTTACAGTCATATGTGCAATTGAGAGGTAGGGAATGTACCATTGATCATGCTCAAAGTTTGAGAAACGTCTTCTTACTTTGTAAAGAGATATGACACAACCCAGCCATCCATTATTTTCTGACCTTTTTGTATGAAAAGTAATGGCGTCATTGTTTACAACCCCAAAATATAAAGTAACTCATGGGCACGTCATGAAATGGGTTCCTCCAACTACAACTCCTATTTGACTTTCCTAAGATAAATGGGTAGTTGGGTACCTTAGTCCCTTGTGTTCCTGTGTTCTTTGATTTGCAGTATCCCTAGCTCTGCCAGTATCTAATGGCCATTTGATAGCTGAGAATTCAAAAAAGCTAGCATATACTTTTTATTTAAGTAGCAAAAATAATATCTTGGACAGATGACACTTACGAATGAGATGAAATATCAGAACCCTAACCAGGGCAACAAGAACTCAATAAACCATGAATATGTAACTTCATACAGCTAAAAGATAAAAAGACTTGCTCATGTAAAATGAATAGAAAGATTCTCAGATAAACCATATAACTAACTTATAAAAAAAAACAAAAAAACAAAAAATCACTGTACACATAACTTGCTTTATAGGTCTTTAATCTCACATATTTTCAGCTGGAATACATTCTTTCATCAGATTAATGTCTGAGATATAGCAAAAGTGTGTAAATAAGCACTATCTTGATTTTGAGGAAACAAAGGTCATTACCATATGTTTTATGTTATATCACCCAATGCCACTCGCAAAAAATGAGTTATTAAATAACTGGTGACTCGGCTTGGATCTTGGTGGAGTCACTTGGAACCATTTGGAGGGTCCCTAATTGGCAGACTCAAGAGCGTGGCCCAGATTTCTTGTCGGAATCGATCAAGTCCCAACAGTGCTCTTTTCTTTTTGCCCGCCAAGAAAACAAAAGAAAGAAAAGAAAAATTATTGTAGCACTGAATTTTGGATTTTCCCTTTGAAAAATCTCAGTGAGCCTCAAATCTCTCGGACTAGAAGGCTAACCATAAGATATCCTTGATGGTTCACTTTTTTAGAGTCATAGGTTTAATCTACAAAAGGATTTGCTTTCATAGTTGATATTTTTTCTCACTCTTCATGTCTTTTATGATTTTGTTAATCATAACACTATATTTTCAATTTTGTTTCAGTCAGTTTTGGCACTAAAGCATTCCAACAATTTAGAGTCTACTCAGAATAGATTAAAAGTCAACAATGATTTACAAGAAACCTACAAGGGAATCATGACTAGGTAATTGTGTACCAGAACGTTCGCCCAGGTACAATTAGTTTTCACTGTCTATCATCAAGAATGGACAATAGATGCCGCTTTGGCAAGCCGAGTACCATAATTCGCTAAATTATGACATATTTTCATACTTATACATGAAAAATCGTGTCAGGACTCAGTGAAAGATCAAGGAAAATTAACTAAACCAAAATGAGTTTCTAATTTACAGTTGTTTTTTTGGATGCCATGCGAGTAATACAAATGTAGGTAAAACTTTAGTGCATAGTGATCATATCCCAAATTAAATACTGCATTTAGACCTGCTGCTGTGCCAAGCAATTCAGCATAACAAACTGAGAATTTTACAATTTACAAACATCAGACTACAGATTAAAAAGGTGAATAAGAGAGATCAATTTACATGAAAGAACAAACCTCAACAAGTTGGTCATAATTAGACTTCAACAAATTGATTTTGCGACCACAATAATCCTTCCCTTCAGTCATTGTTTTCTGATTAAAAAACAATTTGACAAAACCTCAGTTAATACAAAACTCAACAAAGAAGCCAAAGTAAAATGACAAATGAACTACAATGAAGATTATGTGCTATCACATATGCTTCTGAAGCTATGACATAGACATGGTCACATGGGTCAATGCTTGACAAGGATGCAAGTGTCAAAAACATGAATATTAAAATTAGCCTTTCAAGAATGAAACATTCACACATCATTAAAAGAAGAGGAGGTGGTATTTCGGTGACATTAAGTACCCTCATAGTAGGATTAATCTCAATAAAAGTTAAGAAGCGACTAGGTTTCTAAAGTGTCAAACATAACATAGGTGTCATGTCGAGTTAAAAAAAGGACATGAAAATAAAAATAAAAATAAAAATAAATGTAGAGATTAATAGTGAATAATAAAGAATTTTGAATCAAATCATAAAGATGAGAAAAAATGACATGAAGATGAAAAGGAAGAATCACAGAGATTAGAAAGTAACCTCAATGAAGTAGCCAGTGCCGACATCAACAAGGACTTTATCAGCATCGTCGAGAGTTCCAGGAACATAGAGGGATGCAGTGAGGGGTACCAACATTTTCTTCCCTATTCCAACCAAAAGTTTTAGAGAGAGAATCGACTTTGAGACATTCTTCCCTTATTCAATGTTTTAGAGAGAGAATCAATGTAGAGACATTTTCTTCCCTACTCCAGCCAAGAGTTTGAAAGAGATTCAATTTAGACCTATTTTCTTTCTCATTCCAAGACAAAAATATCAATTTAGAGCCATATTCCTTCTTACCAATCAAAAGTTAAAGATCAAAACCCAAATTGGAGCAATTATCTTCCCTATTCCAAGTAAGAGTTTTAGAGAGAGAATAAAATCAGTTCGAAGGCATTGTCTTTCCTATTCCAACTAAGTGTTTAAGAGAGAGAAAATCAATTTAGAGACATTTTCTTCCCTGTTCCAATCAAAGTTTTAGAGAACGAAAATCAGGCATTTTCTTCACTATTCCAACAAAAAGTTCTCAAGAAAGAAAATCCGGTTTGAGAATGAAGACAGATGACATGGAGAGAGAATATAGGTAGAAAATAGAGAGAGAAATGGAAAACGGAGAGAGAAAATAGATGATAGAGAGCACGAAAGCGTAAGAAATAGAATGAATAGTATTCACAGATGGTTACAAAGAGATGGGAAGGAGAAGAGGAGAGAGAAAGTGTTAGAGAGAGAGAGAGAGAGAGAGACCTTGAGGACGAAGAGAGAGGTCATGGAGGGCGGTGGAGGCGATCTCGAGACGAGTGGCGGCTGTCCTGATCTTAGAGAGAGAGTCTTGGAGAAGGCCAACCTCCATATCCGCCTGCTCTTTCACAAGCTTCAATTGCTCAACGCTCATCCCCGCCAGATCCAACCCTTCTTTTACTAATGCCATGCTCCCGTCTCGACAAGATGAACCTCTCTGTAAACAATCTTTCTGTATCAATCTAGTTAAGAGGAACCCAACCCCTCCCCTCCATCACAAACGATCTCTCTCTACTCTACTCTACTCTATCAATCTAGCTAACAACCCCTCCCCTCCATCACAAACAATCTCTCTCTACTCTACTCTATCAATCTAGCTAAGAACCCCTCCCCTCCATCACAAATCCCAGTCTTATATGAAGCCGACGCCCTAAACAATCAACACAAGAAGTTTCCCCAAACATTTTCCTAAACAAAAGGTCTCTTTACCTCTAATCAATTCTCTCTTCCCCACAATAAAGCAATCGGCCTTTATATCTCAGCGGTAAAGCTTCGGTCTTTTAAACTAAAGGTCTGTAGTTCGAACCTGCATGGAGGCATTTTTTAAGTTTCCCCGTTGCCAAAAGTGCATGGAGGCATTTTTTAAGTTTCCCCTGTGCCAAAAGATTTTCTGCTCCTGCAGGAGCAATATAGTTCATATGTAATCCCGGGGTGAAACCCATCTTTTTCAATTCCTCACATGGTGTATTGTTTTTGTTTCCCCTGTGTTGCCAAAAGATTTCCTGCTCCTGCAGGAGCATATAGTTCATGCAAACCGGGGATGAAACCCATCTTTTTCAATTCCTCACTCACATCGTATAACTCATCTTTTTGCTCTCATTCTTTTCTCCCTACGCCCTAATTAAAACCCATCCTTTTTGCTCTCATTTTTCTCACCCTATCGTGCCAATATATTTCATGCTCCTACAAGAGTCTCCATTCCATTTAATCCTGGGGTAAAACCTATCTTTTTCATTTATTTCATCGGCAAAACCCCAATGTTTGCTCGTGGGAGCAATCAGCTCATTTACTCCCTTAGTTAAAACCCAATTTATTTTTGAGGAACCTAGATCTTGGGGGCCTAACATTTAAACTACACTAAGCCTAAAAGTGAAACCATTTTTTTTGAACCCCACTTAGATATTAGCCATTTAACATTTTACCTATATGTTGTGATTTAATTTTAGAATACGGATCGAAATCTTGATTGGTGTAATAGCAAAAAGGTAAAATGTTAAATGGTTGATAAATTGTTGAAAAAATGAAGTGTATTTTGATGAATTTCCTAATTTATTACAATCTAATTTATATTTTATTTTTCCATTATTACCTATTCGATTTATATGTTGCTTAGCCATTTTAGTTGCAATTCAATATTCAGTTTGGTTTCTTCTTCCATACTTATGGAAGTTATTAAAATTCAGACTGGATTATTATTACTATTTATATATAGTAATCTCTATTTGCTGGCATTGATTAATCTTATTCTAAATCGATTTATAGGAAAAAATTTATATAAGGTTGACACCTTAGAATTAAGGTGCACCTGTTTACACAAGGTTGACAGCTTAAAATGTAAAATTAAGGTGCACCTCAAGAATTCATCAAAAAGTATTGTCGACATTGGAAAGACATCTAATTCATCATCTTGGCATCAAGATGTATAGATATAGAGAAGGAAAGAGATTTCAAGTTCTAAAAATATTATATCTTACAACGGACCATGCATTTTCAAGATTTTTACGCGTTTATAGTTCTGCTTGATTTGAACCATTTTTTTAGTCTAAGATTTTATAATTAGAGACAAAATTAGATTTTTGCGACATCCTAAGATTTTACGACATCAAAATTGCATCTCGTTGCAGTTTGGAGGTGGACTTTAATTTGATCATTTAAGGTTGCAACCTTCTACAAACTACACCCAAATATTATATCGTGGTTCTTTGGCTGAATACTGCATTAGACGTGTTTCTTTTGCTGAATACTGCATTAGACTTTTTAGTACTATCGTATTTGGCATTGAGGACCATAGAGGTGACGCACAACATCAAGACAAAAAAAACAAAAGAGCGTTGGAGTAACACTGGTTATTACTATTGATAAAGTTAGATTTTTTTTTTTTTTTGTTTGATAAAGTTGATATTTGTGTAGTTACTACGGCAGTGTAGAAGAGGGTCCTTGAGCGGCTGCATATGTGTCTAGTTCTTTGTAATCCATAGTGATCTTGTTTTATTTGAAAAGGTGGTAGAGAACTTGGTCCATAATAGTGTAGATGCAAGCAACAAAGATAATTCTTAATTATCACTAGACAAGTCAGGTTTATTTCGCCCTCCTAAATTCATATTGTCAATATTAACCATATTACTCTGATATTGTCGACAAAGAGACCATTCATCTTTATACATAAAAGTTACAATCATTTCCACTTATTAGATGTCAAATCAGATGGCTTGAGGTAAATTACGAAGTCCAAAAAACAAAAAAATTGCACTTTGTTTCTAATCAATAATACTCATCCATAACACTCTTACAACCGCCTAATTTGAAATTTCAGGGATGATAATGATTATGACTTGTACAAATGATATGTAGACAATCCCTATTACTCTAAAGGGCTCCCTAATTTTTATTTTGTTTCGTAGTCAAAGTGAAGTTCATGATGTCCAGAATGGGAACTCCCAATTTTTTAGAAATTTACTTCAACTTTGTTACTCCAAAATTTGAGGGATAACGCAACTGCTGTACTAATTGTGGAGAGATATTATTAATGGAAAATGTTATTTCAACATCTGCTAAAATGGCTAATAAATGAGAAGTGAAATTTTAACTAAAAAAATAAAAATTGCAGCATATGCTTCCTTACAACCACCATCAACAATCCCAACCTGAGGGCAAGTGCCTCAACATAATGTCCTAGGTTCCATTCCCACAGCACACACTTCAAAATAGAAAAAAAAGAAAAAAAATCCCAACCTGAGTTCCTGCTTTATATTTCACATCATTTATGTCACATAATGTCACAGGTAGGAGATATGTAATCTAAGAGCAATTTCTAGCATTCATCTAGGTTTTAAGCAAAGAACTAGACTAAACCAGCAAACCAGGACATTATATTCTTCCTTTTTTCGAGGAAATTTATCAAAATACCCATAGGAGATGAATTATTTAACATTCTACCCTTTCGTCACTATTCCTACTCAAGATCATGTGTTTTTTTAATGGGTATTTTGGAATTAAATAAAAAATTATTAGTAATATGAAAAACTGTTCATCTCATATGGGTACTTTGATAAATTTCCCTTTTTGTTTTGCGAAGTAGACCTGTATACATACAAGAGATGTTAATGACCAAAAGATACTGATACACAACCATAGATAAGAAGAATACAGCACACAAAAGGAGAAGGAAATTGCAATAACTTTGATAGGCACAGCCCAAATAAGAACCACCATCGGTGGAGAAGCTTTGAAACCACCATCATAGATTGGATACTTCCATACCATATTGCAGGTGTGGTACATAACATCTTAACCAACCAGTTCCAAATTGAACAGCTGTAGACAATAGCGACCAGCCATGTCAGTGAAAGCAGCCAGTTCATTTTGGAAACAAAGGGTGAAGATGCTACCTACGGCATATCATACATGTAGAGCGTGGTGCATGTATCATAGTATACAATCTCCTATTTTACTGACACTCATACTGATTGTAACTTAGGAGATGGCAGTCCAAGTTGTAATCTCTGTTAGCCTCTTCTGCAAGTTCTAGTGTAACATTGATTACCCCATATAAGCGAGGTATCACTATTTCCCAAGAAATTACATAAATGTAGGTTCCATGAACTAGCAAAACCTGCTGGGCATTTGAACTTAACAAATGACCTTATTGAGTTCACTAACAATGCACCTAGGCAGAAACCTAATGTTAAAGCTCGTAATGCAACCCAATCGAAGATAAATTTGAACTAAACACACATATTACCTTATAAATACTGGATCTCAACATGAAGCAAATTTTGTTGAACTTTTTCAGTAAGTTGAGGAAGTAAATTGAGACTGAAAACAGAGGAATTTCAAATTGGATTGGGTTCAGGAAAATCAAAACATGTTCTTTCTTTCCTCCCTCACAAGACACATATATCCATGAAGAAGAAGGAAGGTGTTAAAAAAGCAATGGCTCCGTTGTACTACAGTAAAATTCTATCCTAAAGGACTCACATATCCCTAAACTGAAATCCACATTGCAGCTGGAATTTCAGAGCATAGGGTCTTGTTTTCTTGGATGGGTAAGCTGGGATCAAACCCGGAGAGCCCCTAAGTACCAACCAATGAGCCAAGAGCCTTATTGTGTGGTTTCCAGTTCCTTATACTTTAAAGGATTGATATATGCGCAGATAGAATGAAAAGACATTCTCATAAAATAGTTAAGTACCATTTCACATCATGCACGATTGAGATATTTTAGATGAGCTTTCTGTGATAACCATCCTCTTTTTATCTTTTAAGAGTTCAGACCCTATGGCAGGAAGCGATATCCTTCGAAGGTCACTGAATCAATAGATTTCATCAGGTTCAACAACCATGACAAAAGGACTATATAGGCCTTCAGCAATTCTTATAATCAGCATATTAAAAGCCTACACAGGCATAAAACAGGGAGCATGAAGACCCACATAAAGAAAAAAAAAAAAAAAAGTGCTGACTGATGTTCATGCCATGAAAATGAAGAAAAGGCTTTAATAATGTTGACCAAAAAGACCCAGATTCAAACAAAGAAAGAAGAAAACATAGGAAAAAAAAAAAAACTAAAAAGATTATAGAGGCCGACAAGCTACCACAAATAAATGAATCCATATCACTGGTGACACAACTTGTGAAAGAGAATAAGACCTTAACTTCTTCCAACTTCTTGGGGGGTCTTTGCCACAATAGAGAGAGCATGAAGACCAGATTGCAACTCTTCTGTCAACAAATCATACACAAGCCTATGACGCTTGACAAGACTCTGCCCTTCAAACTTGGGAGAAACAATCTTCACATTAAAATGGGTCTCTGTTGCATCTCCCTTAACACCAGCATGGCCAGCATGCTGATAAGAAACATCTTCTATCTCTAAAACACTCGCTTCCAATGCAGTTTGAAGCTTCTGTTTCATTCTACTGGCTCTTGAGAGCATGGCATTTGCTCGAGAAGCCATCTGGAGAAATATCAAGCTACCCAACTTAATTTTTTTTATTAAATAACCCAAATTCAAAATTTTTTTTCAACACAGATAAAAATGCTAAACTCGCTCATCTTCCCCCACTTAAACATATTTGAAGCTACCCATTTTCATTTTTTTCTATTTAAGAAAAATACCCAACTTTAAATTCTTATCATTCTTAATTACAGATCAAGAAAATGTTTAAGAAACTCATCATTTCTGCACTAAAACATATTGATCCAGCACACTAGTAGTATAAAGCTCTTTGCCAAATTTGATCATACACTTAGGGTTCAAATCCAGTAACTAACTACAAAAGTCGGATAAAAATGATAATAATCCTCGTGCTGTATCATACTGGATCGAGCTAATTTGAATGAGCAATATCATTCGAATGAGTAAATCAATAAAGTAAATCTAGGTCTGCACTTTTGATGAAGATTACAATAACAATTGTCCCCAAAACAACAATGGTATATATCAAAACTGTAATTCAAAGTTTGAACTAAACCCAAAAATTATGTTCCCGCAAACATCAAACTCACATGGCAACAAGTTGAATACGCAATCCACAACTACAAAAATATATATATCAAATTATCTCAAATAACAATTATAAGCATGGTGAAATCAGGAACCTTTTTTAGAGTTGAATAAATCAGTAGAGAGAGAGAGAGAGAGAGGGAAAAACCCAGAAAACTTACGAATGAAATCAAGAGCAGTTATAGAGTGTCGATGGAACTGAACTCTTGCCTAAATTTGCAGAAAAAGAGCAAGACTCGTACATATATCATAGCCTCGTCTCCTAAGAGTGATCTGGACCGTCCACATCTCGGATTCAAGAAGAAAATAAAAAAACGCCTCGATTCCTAAAAAGCCATTGCGGTGAGCGTGGATCGAACACGCGACCTTCAGATCTTCAGTCTGACGCTCTCCCAACTGAGCTATCCCCGCTTCATGATATAAGTCATAAACTTAATAATTTTATCATTTTATACTATATGATCAAGTTGTGGTTTTCATTCTCACCCGCCCCATTAATTCCTTAAAAAACAAAAATATACCTCCTAATCTATTTGAAAAATGGGTAGGGGCTGATCTTCCCTACTGAATTATCCAAAAAAAAAACCAACCCAAATAGTATTCACTCTAGATTTTGGACCTAGAACCAACTTTTTGGGCGAGGTTGGGTCTACTTGTCGGGTCCATTGCCACCCTAGGTACAATACTACTCCAAAAGTACAATTATGGGCTTTGGCTAATTTCCATTACCCTATATGATAAATAGGGATTAATAATTTCATTTTCATTTGATACAAAAAGATCGCAATCACAATTAATGATTTTATATAAAATCTAATAGCTTGAGTTGCGTGATAAAATTTCATCATGATTATTATTATTTTATTTTTTTTGAGACTCGAAAGCCTGGAGTCCCAAAAAGGTTTTGTTGGAATTTATCCCAAAGTCACACCTTTGGAGTGTGCCACAAAGTGAGAGGCACACCTCTAGTTCCTCAATTTCATATGGAGCGGCCAAAGAAGATTGTGACCTTTCTCTTATGAATATCTCTAATATCAAGCAACAAAAAGTACATTATGGAAAGTACGCAATAAGGCTATTTATCTTTTGTTCGAAAATATCACAAACACCTAATCATGAGTCCTGAAATCAGTAGGTGAGTGGAGTCCCAAAGAAAGAATAGCTTGGACTTTGTGTAATAAATGATACAATTCAATACATCTTTGTGATTTGGGGTGTTGTCACATGGTGTATAATTAATTGTATATAGATCCCACAATAGAGAAAAGCTTCCAAGAAGACCATATAACATTGGTGTAAGAAGGGTATAATCAAACAACTATTAAGTACAAAATTAGGAAGTTGCAAAGTTTTTCATTTCCCCTCAAGTCCTCATAGTTTGAGCACAATGGCACATCACTAACTACTTAATTTTAAATCTGACAGCTAAAAAAAATATTGTGACTGTTTTTTTAAAACTTTGGTGCTAACTTATGCTTTTTTTATAAAAAAACATTGTAATATTTAACCATATGGAATGAGATTCACTACATATATAGACTTGATCACTAAATGATGATAGACTGTGTGTTCGATATGATGTATCAATATGGGTATGATATTTACGAGTTTGTATATCATAAGATAATTTACCTTTAGCATAAGGAAATTAGAATCACTCAATAACTATTAGCATGAAATCTACTTGAAGCATAAAGAAAGGTTCGAAAATTCTTTTCTTAAATTTTTAGTTGATTAACAAGATATCAGCAATAGCTCAATTTTCTGTTCAAAAGCTAAAGTTGATTGTGACCTCTTTGTACTAAACATAAAAGTGTCATATGCTTTGAAAATTTTTTAAGCCTAAAGATATCTTGCTTTTTCCAACTTTGTGTGCATAACCTCCTTGATTTGACCTCTTTTCAAATCAAGGTTAGGGTGTTCTTTCCCACCTCAATCCACTACTCACAAAATAAAATACGATTCAACATAAATTAATAAGAATAAAATAAGTGTGTACCTTTGATACTGATGTATTAATATTAATATGGTCACGATATTTTGGGGATTGCATACGATAAGATAAGCCGATCACAATTAGTTGAAAAAAGATTTAAACGATGATGATGATGCATATCACAAGATGATTTACCTTTAGTATAGGGAGATTATAACCATTCAATAGCTATTAGCATAAAATCTATTTAAAATAGGTCAAAAAGTTCGAAATTTTTTTTTTTTTAGATTTTGAATCAATTAACATGATACTAGCAATAATCAATTTTTCATTTCAAAGCCAAAGTTGTACTAAAAATAAATATATCATATATTTTTTTTCTTTTTTAAGCAATGATATTTTACACTCTGAATGAAAGACTGAGAGAGAGAGGGGGAAGGGTGGAGGGTAGAGACCTGCCGTGACGTTTACTGAGTTAATGGTCTCTCCAATCAAAGTTATGGTGCTCTTTGCCAGCTCAATCCACTCAAGCACAGCAAAATAAAATATGATTCAATATAAATTATTAAAAATAAAAAAGTGAGTACCCTGTTTGTTTACATATTTATGGTAACAGTGTATACTTATTCTTATCCAATAATAAAACTGCATATTATACCATAAATGGTTTGTAACACCATGTTAAAAAACAATATTGACAGTCCAAACTTCATGTTGTTTATTTATAAAAGAGGTGGCAATGGGCTCGATGGCTTAGCCCTCAACAGCTCATGACTGGGCCAAATTTGTGGACCAAAGCTCAGGCCCAACTTTGAAATCTAGGCCCGATGTCTAGGCCATCGCCCAGCCTAGCCACTCAATCTCTTCTTTTTTTTTCCATGAATTTAAAAAATGAATTGTCTACTATAAGACCATTTGTCTTTAGTACAAAGAGGTCATAATTACTTATAACCATTCGATGTGAAAATATGATAGTTTAGGTGTGTCACAAAGTTCGATAAAATTTATTTTGGACTTTGAACTTGGTCAATAGAATAAATGTAGACACCCAATTTTACATCCAGTGGTCAAAATTAATTGTGATCACATTGTACCAAAGATAAATAATCTCGTATACTTTTAAAACCCTAATTGTTGGGGCGAGTCGTTCACCCATAAATTTATTGGGTTATTGGATCAGTAGTCCAGATCAAGTCTAGATCGACTTGAATCAATGATCTAGAATTATTAATAAATAAACAAAATAAAATAAAAATAAAAACAGAGGTTTATGGGACAAGGACTTAGATGAGATTTAAAAATCTATTGGATAAGCTTAAAAAAAAAAAAAAAAAGGATAAAAATATGTAGGGGGGTTTTATGTAGGAGCCAAGTTGGGACTCATATCATTTTGGAACTAATTTGATCCCAAAATCACAAGATTTTTAGACACTAGCCGATCCAAATTGGGGCGGCCTGCTAAATTAAGTGGGCCTGGTCAGATGCCACCCTAAGGTCTTCTAAATTCTTCCAATAAGCACGTGATATGGTGGAAATGTGAATATCCACTAATCAGTTCTACCGATTCATAACAAACAAAAAAGGGAAAAGTTTTTATAGAGCCTAGGCTCTAAAGAATAAAATTAGAGCCTACCTCATAACTTTCACTAGAAGAAGTTGTTTAGATGCCCAAATATCATCAAATTGATCATCTCCACATCAAGACACCTGGACATGAGTAAATAGAGGATTTCAAGTTTTAGAAATCGTGCATCTTGTAATGCATTTTTGGACCGTCAATTTTCAAGATTTTCAAGTTTTCATAGATATGCTCGATCTACATTATTTTTTAAACTTTAAATTTATAAATACAAATAAAAAATATAATTTAAGAATATTACAATATTGAAACTATATTTCTCGACACTATTTGAAAGTGGGATCTAATTTGATTGTTTAGGGCCTTTGGCTTATACAAACCGCATCCAATAAAAAATGTAACTACAAAAGCCAAACAATTAGATGCTCTAGCAGGAACATAATGTACATTAATTATCTATTGTGAAACACCATTTATAAGCATTTTTAAGATCCTAAATTTTGGGGATGTGACTTCATCAACCTAGCCATACACAAAATGAAAAGTAAACACTAAAAATAAAAAAAAATAAAAAAAATAAAAAAAATAAAAAAATATCATTTCCTACATGGGATTTTATACCATGAGACTATTTACCATTAGTACAAAGATGTCACAATCAATCATAGCCACTAAATGTCAAATTTGATGGCTTAGGGTGTGTCACTTAGTTCGAAAATTTTATTTTTGAACTTGAATCTAGTCAATGATATACTTACAACCATCCGATTTATAATATGATGGACATGAGTAATTGTGACGTCCTTCCACTAAAAGTAAATGGTCTCTTTGTATACTTTTCCTCTATATACTCCTTGTAAATATGCATCTTAATATTGAACATAAACTATTCAATGTTTGGGACCCTCGTCTAATTATTTTAGAACTCAAAATCCATTTTTCTTGAAAAAACAGAAAACAGTTATTTGGCAATTCTAAAATATGTCCCAAGAATTTGAATCGAAAACAATAGTAAATCTTTGACTAGGAGAGTAATTTTATGCTATGGTCCCGCGAGAGTACACTCTAAGCTCGGATTGCAAAAGGTCCAAAGAGGATAAAGGATGCGTCGCCCACTGAGAGTGCCTTTCCTCAGTTATAAATCTAGCTTAATAGACATGCACCAAGTACTCTCTCTCTCTCTCTCTCTCTTCCATCTCCATCTAAGGCCTGAAACTTGTGTAAGTCCCCAAAGATGGGTGCCCTCACTTTGGTCATAGCCATGGTCATGGCCTTAAGCTTGGCCACCCTCTCAAATGGAGAGGACACCATGTTCAATGGTGAAAAGCTTCTAGCTAACCAGTTCTTAGAAAATGACCCCTACAAGTTCATAATGCAATCAGACTGCAATCTAGTGTTGTATAAGAAGCAAAGCAACAACAATAACAAGGCCCTGTGGGCCTCGGGTACGAACGGCCATGGCAGCTCATGCACTTTGCTGTTGCAGAACAGTGGGAACTTAGTCATATCTGACGGCTCGGATGCTATTTGGACGAGCAAATCTTCTCGTGGACCGAACACTTACCGGCTCGTGGTTCAGGACGATGGCAACGTTGTTACATATGGGGGAGCAACTTGGGCCACAAACACTGTGCAGAGCTCAAAGAAGAGGAGTTTCACGAGCATTGTCAAGAACGCAACCGTGACCTTCCCTTAGTGCTCTCTCTCTCTCTCTCTCTCTCTCTCTCTCTCGCGTATGCAGTATGCCCTAGTAGTGTAGGAATCCCTTTTGGTTCCTAAATCAAGTACCCACCATGGTGTTTAATTTTTTTCTTTTCTATATTTTCTACCAATATTTTTGCTACCGCCGTATGTGTTTGTAAGAGTTTCAATCATTCAACTCATTAGATGTCAAATTGGATGGCTTGAGGTAAGTGTAAGAATGGTTTTTTTCAAAAATTTATGTCTATTCACTCTCAAAACCACTCATTTTCAAGCATTCATAAATTCGCTTTATCTACACGATTTTTGAAGCTTTAAATTTTATAATTAAAGAAGAAATATATTTTAACGCTATTACAAAGATTTTCAATATTAAAACGACAATTCTCGATACTATTTAAAGGTGGGCTCTACTTTGATTGTTTAGAGCCTCAACTCTTTGAAAACCGCATCTATTCTAGAATATCCATACATACACACATGTAATTCTCACACTCATATTATTTATGCATCTAGAGATATGGTGTTGTGACTAAGAGTCAACCCAGTATCACTCATATATTATAGGTACAATATACGAAAACATCATTCACTTTGATATAAGAAAGTCACAATTATTGGTGGCTATTACATTTAAAACCAGGTAGTAAGGGTTATGCCCTCAAAGTTCATATAAAATTTCTCAAACTCCATGATACAACGAATCTATTAGATTTGTCATCGGATGGCAAAAGTTGATTGTGACCCATTAAATTTGACATCGGATGGCTAAAGTTGATTGTGACCTGCTGACGATGAATAGTTTTGTAGCATGTAATCCTTACATTATAATATGACAAACATACTCGGTGTTACCCTTAATTTTAACTCCCTCCTAGGTCCTAATGAAAAAGCTGATCCAGATTGAAAATAGTCCCTTACCATGTCGATTCTCGGCAATTTGATATATATTATATACATAACGTATAAAATATTATATACATAATGCCAAAAGATGGTCTACTCCAATGGGAGTAGAATGTGCATTTACTCCCTCATGTAAAACCCTACCTAGAATTGATCTTAGGACCCTTGACGATGTAACCTAATCAACCCATAGGTTCAATAAAAAAAATCCCAAAGTGTACCCTCCATGCACTTCAAAAAAATAATCTTCGGATTGAATAGAGTATCCAATTTTTAGATGGTAAAATCTAAGTGTTCGAAAACTCAAATTCCATATTTATTTTTTAAAATAGGACCTGGTTTCTATGCGGCCAAGCTCGCATATGTAGAAATGCGGGCCTCTAAATAAATATATTTTTAAGATAGATTTTAAAACTTAATATTTAACGACATGTAATCTCTAACATGGAAATCATGAATATGAAAAAATAAATAATTTTAAAAACTAAAAATTATAATTCTAGTAAGAAAACATTTGGATAGTTAGTTTCTATTATTTTTAAATTGAACACCAACATGGATGCTTTACACTTTCTGGACTGCATATGTAGAAATGTGGTCCAACCTGCATGAAACAATCTTCCTTTAGAATAATCATCTTGTAATTCTTAAATGGTTCCCAAAATTTCAAATTGAAAACATCCTTCCAAGTAGGACCTTTGACCGAGGGAGTAATAAGTAAATTATGCTCTCAAGGGAGCATAGTATACATGCTCATAATTTATAACATACGCCCTCCCCTCCCCTTGGGGAGAAGGAAAACGATATTATCGTCCAAAAAAACAAATAAAAAAAATCACATATCCTTCATTTTGTTTTGTTTTTATTTTGAGTTTGGATCGTTGATCCAAATGTGCATCAATTGGTGATCATTCACACTAAAACCGTGCTCTCAGCTATTCGATCCCTATCATAGATCACCGGACACATTTAAAAGGGAAAGTATATAATGAGACCATTTTCTTTTAGTACAAAGTAGTCACAATTAATCTTGTCCGTTAGATGTAAAATTGAGTAGTTGCATTTATATCGTTGATTAAACTCAAAGTTCAAAAGATTTTTTTTTCGAATTTTGTGACACACTCAAGCTATCAAATTTCACATAAAATGGTTGTAATAATTGTGAATTTATTGTATCAAAGAGAAATGGTCTCATTGTATACAATCCCTATATAAAATTATAAGGATTGTATACAATGAGATTATTTTTCTTTGATACAAATAGGTCACAAATACATATAACCATCCGATGTAAAACCCGATAGCTTGGATATGTCACCAACTTCGAAAAAAAAAAAATTGAAGTTTGAGTTTGGTTGATGGAATAGATGCACCCATCCAATTCCACATCCAATGACCAAGATATATACGGGCATGCATATTTTATATATTATTAAAACCCTCCAAACATTACTATATATATATATATATATATTTATTAAAAGCCTTCACTTATTGATTGGGTCCATTTTCATAAGTCGTTGCGGCTGGCCAACCATATCCTTCTTTTTCAAATTCAATTTTCAATTAGATTGTTACAACAAGCCGCCATATTTGACGGATTATTTTGTCGTAAAGGAAAAGTACGCAAAAGACTTCAAGTGTGAGTCCAAAAGTCATAAAACTACATTCCCATTGCTTTATTTCAAAAGAAAAATGGTCAATGTAAGGTTTAAAAGGAGTTGAAGCATTAGATAAAAAACAAGAAAAATAACAAATATTTTAAGTAAAACTGGAAAGTTTTAAAAGAATTGTGAAAGTCGACTGTGATATTCGAAATTTCAGTAAAATATTGTGTTTTAATACTCAACGATATCCAATTCAAATCGACGATTTGGATAGAGAATCGAGTAGAATCGAACCAGTTTCTAGGTCATACATACATATCTCCTCTCAAAATCTCCTGAATCCGATTTTTTATATTTTTTTTTAAATTTATCTGAAATTTTTTTAAGTCCTTCCCTAAAACATTAACCTGTATGATTCATTTATGAATATTATTCTGGATCACCAATTTGAATCAATTTAGATTATCAATCTAACGATGCAACGATCTACCCGGTAATCGGAGTTTTTTTAAAAAAAAGGCGAGCCCCCTCTCTTTTGGCTCTCGCTACTCCACTTTTTGGCTCTCTCTCTCTCTAAACAAATCTAGAGAGAGAGAATCTTAATATGGAAGAATGAGAGAGAAGCCTGCAAAACTCAGTCCCTTGTTTTCTTTTGCCAATAGAGTTAGGGAGCTTGACTCCTACCGCTCACATTCATGTGATATGGGACAAAGTTATACGTATTTACTCTCAAAGGGGACCACTAAACCCCTATAAAAACTCCTCCTCCCATCCAACAAGTTAGAGAGAGAAAGAGCCCAAAGAGTGTATACAGAGAGAGAGAGAGAGGATAGCCCATAGAGTGTAGAGAGCGAGAGAACCCAAAAGAGTATTCTAGAGAGAGAGGAGTAAAAGGTAGGGAGAGCCTGAGGAGTGTAAGTAGAGAGAGAGAGTAAAGCAAGCACTTTAGAGAGAGAGAGAGAGAGTCCGAATATACTGAAGCTGCCACCCCACCCGTTGGAGAAAGCCTAGAGAGAGAGAGAGAGAGG